GTATGCAAAGGGTACTGAAAAAATTTGCACCCTTTAATTGGATTCAATAAATATTCTTATTCTTATTATTCTACTAAAATATTCTTATATTATATTCAAAATGCCAAAAAATTAACAAGCCTTATGGTGGTTAGAAAGTTTTCAACTGTCGTAATATATTTGATGTAATTAATAATTTCCTTGTATATTTTTTTAGAAATGGTTAGTCTGATGATAACAGGAAAATAATATTCAATTGATAAACAACGGAAATACAACCTATTGAACAGTAATATGAAGCATCGTTGGCATTCTGAATGAAATACATTTTAAAAAAACTTCATACAAGTGCATTAAGTGGTTCAGCAACAGAAACTTATACTTTTCTGAGGAAACGGGTACATTTTATTTTTAGAAAAAATTAATTAATTGGTTTCTTACTTCGAAATTATAAGAACCTGAAAGAAAAACTACACCAATGGAAGATTCTGTCTCTCACCATTTTATTCTATAGAAGAATGATGAGGTCAAACTATATATTATTGCAATCATATACATGTATATTTTAAATAGCATATCTAAATTCCTACCTATGAAAAGGAACATCATGTTTTCAAATCAGTGCGTGCGTCCGTCTATAAAGATTTGGTAACATTTACGTGAAAAATATTTGATGTGTTTCCCTCAGTTTAGTTTGTAACCCGGATTTGTTTTTTTTCAATCGATTTATGAATTTCGAACAGCGGTATACTACTGTTGCCTTTAACTAACGTGAAACGTGAATACAACAGGGACAATAAAGAACAAAGACAAGGTCATGCGGTTCTCATACTGTTTTATATACTTTACACAAAATTCGTTGGATGTCAACTGATTGACAATAATAAAAGTCTTGGAAAACATTATTAATTTATAAGTTGTAATTGGCTTTGAACTAGCTTTTAGTAACTGCAAATATAAAAATAAGAAGATGTGGTATGATTGGCAATGAAACAACTCTCCAACAGAGACCAAATGACATAGCAATTAACATCTATATGTCACCGTATGGTCTTCAACAATGAGCAAAACCCATACCGCGTAGTCAGCTATGAAAGGCCCCGAAATTACAAATGTCAAACAAATCAAACAAGACAACTTACGTCCTGATATATGTACTAAACAATGAACGAAAAACAAATATGGTAGACAGCAACAAACGACAACCACTGCATTACAGGCTACTGACTTGGGACAAGTATATACAGAATGCGGCGGGGTTAAACATATTTGAGGGCGCCTTACCATCCCCTAACCTGGGACAGTGAGTACTCTTATTTCAGTGCTTGTGGCTTTTGTCACAAGGAAGCTATTAAGCCAAGAGTTCCAAATGGTGAAGTTGAAATCATCCCTTCGTAAATTTTACGGACGCCATCACGAGTTGGTTGACCGTTATGGAATAACCGTTTCACAGATGATATCGGATATGTTCCTTATGTCGTAACTACAATACCCTTCCCTTTTCACGAATGTGACTTACCGAATTAGACTATTTACAGGATTTGTTATAACATAAGCAACACGACGGGTGCCACATGTGGAGCAGGATCTGCATACCCTTCCGGAGCACCTGAGATTACCCCTAGTTTTTGGTAGGGTTCGTGTTGCTAAGTCTTTAGTTTTCTATGTTGTGTCATCTGTACTATTATTTGTCTGTTTGTCTTTTTATTTTTGGCCATGGCGTTGTCAGTTTGTTTTCGATCTATGAGTTTGACTGTCCCTCTGGTATCTTTCGTCCCTCTTTTGTATTTATGTTAGTTATTTTTGGCTACATACCTATCGTTTGTTCTCATGTTGTTCTGTTACACCACTGTCCTAGTTTTAGGGAAGGGTGGAGCGCTCACAAATAAGTTAAACCCCGCCACATTTTTTTGCCCGTCCCAAGTCAGGAGCTTTCAGCTTAGTGGTTATCGTTGGTTCATGTCTGTCATATTTTATTTTCGTAAATTATTTTGTTATTTGTTAGTTTGTTTTTCTTGTTTAAATTGTATTACATTTTGTTGGTTCATTTTATAGCCTACTATACGGTTAAGGTTTTTCTCATTTTCGGTTATCTATAATTGCCTACATCCACTACATTTGAACTCTGGTTGATAGTTGTCTCTTTGGCAATCATACCACATTTCCTTATTTATTTTATTTTTATTAATATGAGTTTATCTTTTTGAAATATATCCCAAATAAAGATTTTATCATGAATTTATGAATTTCTGATCAGTTTAGAGTTTTGTTTAAGCTAGATTAAAGTTTTGGTTTAATGTAGTTGACCATGTCTCTTTAGTCATATCAACCTAAAACTTTAGACACATGTTCGTTTTGATGAAAACTTGTAAAAATGTGTGCAGCAAAAGGATAACAATAATAAACAACTTCAAGTTTTTTGAGGCCATTTCTAAATTTTGTTCAGCAAAAATATTGTTTATTGTGCATACTGCTATAAAGACGACTCTCAAATTCGTGCATTTTCCTGCTCATTTCCAATGTCACGATGTTAATGTTATTACGTCACAATTAGAACATTGGGTCAATCGATGTATATCATTGATAAAAAAATCACGATTGGTCTATTTCCTTAGAGTGTTAAGATTTTACTTAGTTATTTTATTTTAATTTTTTGTATGACTATAAAACGTGAAAAGATTTGATTGAATGAAAAGTTACGTCGCCATTTTTTTTATCTAGATACTTTGATTAGCCAATATATGAAAAACTTTACTGCTCCGTTACATACTTCCTGTATTCCCTTTTTTGATATTTGTATCCGTGGAGATAGGGTCTTCCATTCCGCGTTGGAATAAGTAAGCCCATTCATGCGATGCGTAATGCGTATATACGGACGTTAATTTCGTGAGTTCAATCATGAGTGGGGATAAGGAGTCGTATTCCGTGCATCTACTTCTGTGTGAGGATTAGAGTCACAAATTGGCGTCAATTTCGAGGTTCACTAATGAACGGGAAAATGGTATCCGTTTCATACGGCGACTTACATTTCTGACTTTTTACTTAAAATTCATAATAATCTCATCCTAGATACCAGGATAAAAATTTCTACGCCAGACGTGCGTTTCGTCTATCAAAGACTCATCAGTGACGCTCGAATGCAAAAAAATTAAAAAAGTCAAATAAAGTACAAAGTTGAAGAGCATTGAGGACACAAAATTCCGTAAGGTTTTGTCAAAAACAGCTATGGTAATCTATTCCTGTGGTGAAAATCCTTAGTATTTCGAAAAATTTAAAGTTTTATAATCAGTTAATTTATAATTATGACAATATCAATGATAAATCACGGCAACACAAAAATGCTGACTACTGGGCTGGGGATACCCTCAGGGAGAAACTTCCACCAGCAGTGGCATCGACCCAGTAATCTATTTTTGGGGTAGAAAGACCATAGTTTTTCGAACAACTCAAACTTTCGGAAAGAGTTGATCTATAATTATGACCATATCAATGATAGTTCATGTCACCACGTAGTGCTAACTACTAGGCTGGTGATACCCTCGGGGAGGAAATCTCCGCCAGCAGTAGCATACTCCTGTTAGTTGCAAAAAAAACTCATGAAATATACCAGGTTACCGATTTTGTACGCCAGACGCGCGTTTTGTATAAAAAAAGACTCACCACTTACCCTCGAACCAAAAAAAGTATAATTGCCGAATAAAAAAGAAAGTGAAAGAACATCGATCAAGAACCTAAAATTTTGCCAAAATATAGCTGAGATAATCTATTCCTTTGGTAGAAAATCCTAAGTTTATCTAACAATTCAAAGTTTTGCAAACAGTTGATTTATCAATATGACTATATCAATGATAATTCATGTCAACACGGAAGTGCTAACCACTACGCTGGTGATACGTAATTCAATTGTGTGATGCCACTTTTAAATACTGAGGTAGTTTACAAAAATATGATAACTAGACTTCTTGCTGTTGGCTGTGTGGTATGAATACAAGCGCTGCCAAACCCAGAAGAAATGAAATTTTAGTTGAGATGCTTATGTAAGAGGCACAACTCTATCTACATTTAAAAGACTACTCGATACAATTTTTTAAGGAGTCCATACCTGATATCCTATAAGGCAATATAACTGCCCTACTCTATTAATTTCCTTGTGCTAATGTTAAAAACATTTGGGTTTGATCTCAAAAAACATGTTTAACCCTGCCGCATTTTTGCGCCTGTCCCAAGTAAGGAGCCGCTGGCCTTTGTTAGTCTTGTATCATTTTTAATTTTAGTTTCTTGTGTATAATTTGGAGTTTAGTATGACGTCCATTTTCACTGAACTAGTATACATATGTGTTTAGGGGCCAGCTGAAGGACGCCTCCGGGTGTGGGAGTTTCTCGCTACATTGAAGACCCATTGGTGGCCTTCGGCTGTTGTCTGCTCTATGGTCGGGTTGTTGTCTCTTTGACACATTCCCCATTTCCATTCTCAATTTTATTTGGGTTCTGAAACTTTTACACATGTATATAAAATTCATAAAAACATTAAAGCGGCACTTGTAGCTGTTGTTCGTATCTACCATAATATGTCCAGCAAACAATGATTCATGGACATATAATAACTGAATGAACGGAAAAATTTAAAAATTACTGTTTTGATATGTTCAAGACATTTCTGAACGTCACAAAAATAAATTATATTCTTTAAATTTAATGTGTACATCAATTAAATTGAATCCTCAACTACCGCCTATCAAAATGACTCCCTGTTGAACATCATTAATAATTATCCTTGCTTTAGGGAGATATGAATATTTGAGTATACTCATATTTCCCTAAGGCTTCCCTACGGTCATATCGACAATGATCTTGATTTTCTTGTGTTAAAAGCGTTGAAATCTAGACATTAATGTCGACATGCGCATTTGATGCAATACAACTGGTACAGTTATTATTATATACACCGCGCGTTATGTCGCGCGAAGTAGATCCGATATTCAGAGAGGAAAAGGATATTTCGTTTACGTGGGAAAGTCTCAACCAATATAAGAAATGTATTTAGCTATCAATTTTTACATAGTGTAATAAAATATCATAGCATTATATGTGCACATGTTTGTTAAAATATAGTAAATAATTACACTTTGGACAGATTAGTGTTAGAACTAAACCCGTCCTCATATTCATTCGTAAGAAAATTGTTTTTAGAGGATACTTTATTTAATGTACTTGTATCAGCACATCTAGATTTCGTTTTGGAGCAAGAAGATACAGATGCATTTGGTGTGGAAGTTTGCAAATAATCAGTTTCATTCTTATTTAACGGCACATATGGATCTGTTGTATTGTCTTCATAAATTGAGTGCTTTTCGTTTAAAGAATTCCCAGAATCGGACTTTGTGTTCATATTAACACTTTCTATCTTTGACTCATATTTTGGTTTATGTTCTCTGTCAAGATTCGTTTGAGTCTCTATTGCACTTGCTGCCTTGTTTATTGGTGGCAACTCTTGTTTTATTGGGGTAGTGTAACTGTGTAAATATTCCATTTCATCTGGAATGAGTGGTACATATGGATTTAAATATTCATCTGTTTTAACGGACGTGACGTCACAATCGTCTGATGATATGTCGCCGTCAATCAAATTTATAGATTCCGGCTTCTTTTCGGAATGCACTTGTACTATTGCTTTTGAATTTACTTTATTCAAGTGTGAGAGTGTACCTGCATTGTTATCTAATTCTGTTGTGTTTAGAAAAATATGTGTACGTGACGTACCAAATTCAGCAGATTTTGTTTTATTTAAACTTAGATCTCCTATAGAACCGATTACTTTATTTAAATCAATATCATCGACAACATCTAAATATAGTGGTTTTGATTGCGATAACAAATAAGGACGTATTGGCAGACCTGGACTTTTTCCGTAATTTTTCAAATCACTTTGATCTGGATAATCATAATGTGTCATTTTGTTTTCATCAATTGATTCATACGACGATTCCTCTTCGATTTGAACCATAATGGCCTTTCCATGCACATTTGGTTTGTTATCTTCTTCTTCATCAATCTTGTTGAGTTGTATATCACTTGCAGACTTATCTTTCGATCTATGTTCTAATGTCTTGGTCTTGGTTCGACACTTACGGTTGAGACAAGCATTGCATATAACCGATAAACATAATACCAGCACAAGTCCAGCTCCTAGTAACCAATAATAAAACTGTTCTTGTTCCGACGGTCCTAAACAAAAAAGTCAATTATTGATGAATGTTCCATATAATACATTTCTCAAATGTATACGATATGCTTGCGTTTTATAAAAACGTATACATGGTATACACGCTATGGGAGTATTTGGCAAAACATTTGCAGTGATACGCTTACATTAATGCTACTTGTATGTATAAAAAGAAGGAAGTAGTTATGCACACGTCGATTGTTTTGATAAACTATTGTGGTATTTTAAGGCAACAGTTGCTTTCTGATGTTCAAATCTCGTAAATCGATCGAAAAAAGACAAATAAAGATAACAAACAAAAACTGAGGAAATCAAATAACTTCAATAGAAGCTCAAACCGGTACGTAGACAGGGTAACAGTCTCCTGCTATGTATACTTCACTCGCCATGGTATTATTGTCAATTAGACAACTATTAACCGAAGTTCAATTGACATTTCCTTAAGCAGCTGTATGTAACCGTATACGACAATCATCTAGGAGCAAAACCCATACCATATAGTCAGCACTGACAAGACAAAATGTGACACATTTCAAACGAAGTAATCAACGGCCCGATTTATGACAAAGTAATAAACGAAAACAAATATGATTTAGAGAAACCAACTGCAACCACTGAATAAAAAGCCTCTGGCTTTGGAGAAGCATATGTTGATCGTCACGGAGTTAAATTTGTTTGTGAGCGCTCAACCCTTTTACACACACTTACCTGAGACAATAGTGTAGCTGCACAACATAAATAAAAACTGCAAAAAATCATTTGGCAATAACCTGACTCATCAGATTAGTACGTACGAAGCACCCCAAAAAAATAACATAAATACAAAAGATACAGTAACAATTTAAGAGCTCTCACTGTTACCGAAAGCTAGTCAAAAGTCAAAAGCAGCTAATAAATAAATCATGTTTTCTCAAAGAATTTATCAGGTAACATCCATCGGATTTAGCATAAAAACATCATAAACAGTCTGAAAAAGGCACTCCTTTTTGCAATGTCAAAATAAAGGAACATAATGTCGACAGGACCATAAGTTTTAATAATTGTATATCAATATTTATTTAGTAATGTTTTAATTAACAAAAACAAAATAATGTAAGTACTGTTAAATAATATTCAAAGACTTTACTACGGTGTTAAATTAATAATTCAAGAATACTTTTATTCAAAAGGTCAATGGGTTCACATTGATTGTATCTAACTTTACGGGCTCTATAAAAAAGATAACCATAAAATAAAAATGATGTGATATCCCGTTCGTAATAAGAATTCAAACGGGACAGCCAAATCACCATTTCATATTTACAGTGGCATTAAGTATTTCTCGAGCGTGAAATCTTTTTTGAATTAATAATAGCTCTAGGTCCTAGATGAGCTACTTCCTTTCAAGGTCCGTTTGTTGTAAGGTATGGCATCTTACGTCTGTATACTTTGTATAAAGATGATGTTCTTTCACTAAAACAAATCTGAGTTTTCGGATTACATGTATTATCATCTCACCTACCCTATTCAAAATAAATATGAGATGATAATACAGCTTAGTCTACTTCATATGCTGTCATACATCTTCAAATTGACAATGTGGGTCGGTTGAAACTTAAACTTTAGGGAAAACAAGTTCTCCCATTGTGAACTTTCAGTTTATAACTTTGTCAACCTTTCAATCTTCCAATTATTACGACATTCCAAGGCTATTGATACTTATCTACATGACAGATGGTAGCTGTTAACAAGGAAACAATTAACCAAGGATTTTAATGAAAAATCTCTATCACGAATGACGACGTAAATGTTCTATTTGTCCCAATCACTTTCTTTTTCTCTCAAATGCAAATTATCACCAAATTTTTGGTTATCTTTTGGGGTTGTCCTTGGCTTTAACTTATCAATATATTTCTAATCTACAAAAGATGTGAGGTGTTAAATGTTTGTTTTAATTGAATAATATACCTGAATTTGTGGCTGTTTCTTTTTTACCATGATCGCTGTTCACATCAGTTTGCATGCTGTTTATTCCTAGAATAACATTTTTATTGATATCAATTTATTATACAACATACTCTAAAACACATGTTTATATCAAATGTCGATATGTAAAGCCTGGAAATGATTTTGATTACATGGTAAAATTGGAACTGTTATTCAAGCTGCAGATACTTCTGTCTGAAACAAAGTTATAGGTTTTTTTCTAGTCTGATACGAATACCTACATGTAGGATTTTCGGGGCTCTTAAAAGAGAATAAGCAGCGATGGATTTTGCTTGGATCTGCATACCTTGTTAGTATGATAATGGTCTAGAAGTAGTCGACCTTACTTCATTTTTGAACCGGTGCAAACTTTTAATTTAATTTGACTTTTACAAAAAACAAACATTGGAACCAATGATAAAGATAATTGTGATCTGAGGCCAAATAACAATAATATCGAACATACTGTCAACATCTGTTGTTTTCTCTGTTGTTATTGTTATAGTAGTTGTTATGTGTATCAATGCCGTCGACTTTTCAATGTTTGCTGTTTCTGTAAAATAAATTTACATGCTACAGTACCAAAAGAGACAAATTTCTATTCAAAGAAAAACAGAAACAGTCCACATACTTGGACTTCAGGGGGTTCAGAACACATAAGGGAGTTAACTCTTTCAAAATCATCTAAACGTTTAAATCACGTGCTATAAGTGAAAGAATTCAAGCCTCTCAATGATCAAAACAAGTGTTAGTCAAACTGCTAAATATCCAAAGAAGTTAGTCCTGTGAATTGTGTGGTTCAAATTCTTGAAATTTTTATATTTTTGTCAACAGGTCAAAGTAAATAATTTGTCAAAATTTTATGAGAATTAAACGAGCCAAATCAATTTTAGTCAAAGCGTTGAGTACCCCTTAAATCTTCCTATAAACAACAACAAGCGGGTTTCTTGTGTATTGATTCTTGCGTAAAATTTCATAAGTACGAGCATCTGATACCGTCATTTATGAATCTACCTGCCTAATTATATGAATATGAACCAAAATATCGTCACTCCGTTCAAAATTTCGGAATCTCGTCTTCGTTTTGATAAATCGTATCAGATCATGCATACATGTCACTAGAAATTAATAAGTTTCACTACATATAAGAAAGGTATAACATTTTGTTCCCAAATAAACAAACCTTTGTTTATTCTTCTGAGAAATATGAAGGTTAGAAAGTAAGCTTTGATAATACTTTGTCTGAAAAGTGTTAACTGAAATCTTGGATTTTATAAAACAAATTGCCGTCATGTCCATGCCCACGATCCATTAAAAAAAAACCCGAAAAATCGACATTTTCTTGGCTAAATTCGATCAAACAAAGATTTTTAAAATGAAATAAAAGTATTATGATAAAAAAATAAAAGCAGTATGCCGTATTTACACATCACGTCCGCCCTTGCAGAAACTGTAAGGTGACGGTATCTGGTAACTGACTGTAACTGGTCCTTGACTTGTCCTCGATTTCATGGTGTTTTTTTTTTTACCTCTTTTCATTTTTTTTTTTACCTCTTTTCATTTTTTTTTTTACCTCTTTTCATTTTTTTTGGGAAAGTGTTCATGTCTATGAGTTCACAGAACTGTTTAATTGTTGCTTGCAACTTCCTTTACAAAATTTCACTTTAAATTGTTTCCAAAATTACCAATTTTTGCTTAGCGTACCTGGTGAAGGTAGGCCAGGAAACAACAGCCAAGTGCGAACGTCCATGAAACAACAGTCAAGTGCGAACGTCCATGTAACCCTTCCGTAGCACCTGAGATCACCCCCAGTCTTTGGTTGGGTTCGTGTTGCTTAGTCTTTAGTTTTCTATGTTGTGTTTTGTGTACTATTATTTGTCCTTTTCTTTTTTATCCATGGCGTTATCAGTTTATTTTCGACTTATGAGTTTGAATGTCCCTCTGGTATCTTTCGCCCCTCTTTAATGTCAATCAAGTGCGAACGTCCATGAATCAACAGTCAAGTGCAAACGTCCATGTAACATTAACAAAATCCAAATCATTTGCCTTTTAAAACAATTCTTACTTTATCGCTTAACTTGTATAGTAGGGTAGAAATATATAAATTCCTACCTGCTGTTATAGTCTCTGTAAACAGTTCTGTAGTGGTTCTCTCTTTTAAATTAAAGTAAACATTATAATGATTTATAACACCAATTATCTCAAAATATAATACAAGTATTTGTTTTTGCATATTTTTATAAGTCACTTAAGTCATGATAGATACATTGTATTTAAATGGTAAAATGTATATAAGCAAATATTTGTATCAATTAAAAAAATAAAGTCCTAACCTAAACACTTTTATCGTTTCATGAAAGATACCTTGAATTATTTTATTCCAATGACTATCTCATTTTAGTTGGTCTGATTTTATTTCTACATTTCGAATTATTTACCTTCTATTGGTGTTTTTAAAAGTAACATTTGAATTTATGTTATCTTATAAATTGTTATATTCATATTCAATGGAATTCAGTTAATATCTACACTGTGATATTTATTCTTATTTGGTCTTACATTTGTATGGGAAATTTGAAACAGGAGGACACAAATAAGTATCAAGTATCCATTCGAATTTGCGGACCCTGGGTTTTTTTCTATGCCAACTGCAAGCCTGGTATCTTTGATAAGTTTCAATAGAAACTTAATCCTTAAAGGTTACTCCACAACACTACCACTTTTTTATTCATTAAAAAAAATACAGACAATATGCCAAAATAAAATAATAACATGAAACTGAACTATAAAATGCAGGGAAAACGACTATCAAGTAGAAACAAAAAATACTATATTTGGTAATACTTTTTTACTTTAAAGAGGGAAATAAAAGAGTAACTATCTTTAAAAAAATCTTGTAGCGTTGATTCACAGCATCTGTCTTTCATGATATCAATATTTACCAGGGACCCAGTGACTAGCATTTAAAAGCCCTTAATGAGTTTTAAAACTACATCTAGTCAGTTTTTCTGAACATTTTCTTGTATCACTGCCAATTTCAATTATGTTTCATGATGATACTTTATGAAACTTGTTATATATTTGTTTTCTTTAGAGACACCAAATAGTACAATTTGAACTCGTTTCCAAAATATGTGACGTTTTTTATTTCCTTTATATCGTAAGCGGTCCTCTTGATGGTTGTTTCACCTAAACCATAGTTTGCGCATGTGCCTAATCAGTCTATCTGGACCATGTACGTGTTGCTATTGTTTCCCTATTTTTGTACGTGATTTAATTATCGGAACTATCTGCTGCATTATCGATTTCTTTTAAAAATTCTGGTAAAAAAATGTTTGCGCAATTACTTTTTAAATGTTCAGTACTTAGCCAAAAATCTCGTACAAGCTTTCATATAAAAATAAGAAAATGTGGTATGATTGCTAATGAGACAACTATCTATCAAAGTTCAAATGAAGTGGATTTTAGTAATTATAGACAACCGTACGGCTTTCAACAATGAGAAAAACCCATACCGTATAGTCGGCTTTTTCAATATATGCAAAAATATTCCGTCAATCGTTAAATAATAAATATGAAACGAAAATGAATGAACTAGGAATACGAGACATGAAAATAAAGAATAGGTTGAACATATATAACACTGAAAATAAAGAAAAAATTAAAATAACAAAAATACCGAAGTTCGAGGAAAATTCAAATGGGAAAGTCCCTTATCAAATGGCAAAATTCAAAGCTCAAACACATCAAACGAATGGAAAACAACTGTCATATTCCTGACTTGGTACATGTTTTTCCTTGTGTAGAAAATCGTGGATCAAACATGGTTTTATAGCTAGCTAAACCTCTCACTTGTATGACAGTCGCATGAAATTCTATTATATTGACAACAATGTGTGAACAAAACAAACAGACATAATAGGTAAAAATGTCAAAAATAGGGGTTCAGCTGTCAACATTGTGTTATAATCTTAATCACTATAAAAATAAACAAATATGTCAACAAGGAAAACAAAATGGCATATCGACAAAGCACATAATCAAAAATGAAAGACAAGAATACAAAAAATGACCATAGCACAACAACACATTGGCGAGATGCATAAGTACCGAGCCACGCCAAAAGGATATTACCAAAAATGGATTAAAAGTAAAGGATAATAATTTACAAAGACAAATAAAAGAACACTATAACACGTAACTGATAAACAACGTCAGTACCTAGAATCTATACTTCAAGACCATCATGTATTATTTGTGAAGTTGATACGGAATATTTATCAACAAGGTCTTGGTATCTTCCGATGAACTTTTTTAGAAAAAGGACTAGACGTTCTTTGACATAACCCTGGTTCGTCAACCTTCTGCTCAGACACTGGTGACGTTTTATAAAGTCTGAATTGCAGCTGCAACCTCTTTAATATCGAATGAGTCGGGAAATGTATATCCCATTATGCAGGTGAAGTTGGTATATTGCTACTAAGGTGGGGGAAATTTCTAATTTCAAAATTAAAATCGTCTCGTTTGTCATATATTCTGGTACTGAGATGACCACTTATGTCAAATTCAAGGTACAAGTCTAAAAATGAGGCGGTGGAAACCGTGTCTGTTATTTCTTTAATTTTTAGTTTTGGAGAATATATTAATGAAACCCGAAAAGTTTGGATTGTTAACGGAAAGAATATGATCAATATATCTGAATGTGAAATTAAATTATCTGGCTTCTTTGATCTTCTTGTTTTTGGCAAGTGTCTGAAGGAACTCCGACTCATATGAAAATAAGAAGAGGTCGGCAAGGAGAGGCGCACAGTTCGCCCCTATAGAAATGCCGACAATTTGTTGAAAAAGTCTATCTCCAAATTCAAAAAATATGTTGTCAATAAGAAACTTCAGTATACTGATCACTTGTTCCTGTTTGTAGCATGTTTTACCCTTTTGTTCACTATTAACAAAATATGCCGTATGGTATCCCAAAGTAAAAAAATTATAGCGTTTGCTACCATTTTTATATTGAAAAGCATTGTGGATTATTTCTTTTGATAGAATTGATTTCAGAGAAAAATCGAGATTAAAATTATCCAGAAGTTCTTTATAGTTTTTTTAGAATCCAGATATGGTTAATACCATTACGCGAGTAAACAATTTCAAAGTAGTTCTGACGACCCTCTTTCACGGCGGACAGAATTTTTGTCAATCTAATGGACATTTCCTTTGTAGAACATGCGGATGAGCCGGCAATGTACCTTTTTTGTACGGAATTTTGTGAATCTTAGGTATCCAATACAAACAAGGTAAGTCCTCAGATTTGCCGTTCAATGTAATGTTCATTGAAGCCATGAAGGAATTATGATTCTCCAAAATCTTATCCTAGTAGTACAATTTACATACAAAGACAATATTATTTGAAGCTTTGTCCGCAGGATCAACAACATATTTATCGTTAGGAGATGATGGACATTTCACAGCTTCTTTGTCTCTGAAAACGGACATTGGTCGATCATTCACACAGTTTTTCAGCTTATGAATTCGACGTTTTATCAGAGACCTTATTGTTTTGATCCATTCTGACAAAGTGTCCAGTTCAACTTCTTCTCGTTAAGCCCATGCTCTGGCGTAGTCCTCAATGGAATCCATAGTTATATTGAATTTATGGTTCTAATTGATGTGTTGGGGTTCTCTGAACTTAGTACCATGAGATATTACCTTTTGAAGATGTTCATGTTGAATTATGTTTAGATCCCCAGTAATAACATGGCCAGAGGGGCTGTACATACAAGGCGAGTGGGAACAGTCATATGTCAGAGCGGTTTATAGGTATTCTTCTAAATCAAGGTCCTGCAATGCTTGCTTATAGTTAAATACTTTAGGTGCAATGGTTTTGCAAAAGAAAATAATGCATTGTAATATATAGTATTTTTTCAGGGACATTTATGTTAAGGGGCGTCTTTTCTGTGGCCTAACATATTTTTTGATGTAGTTTGTTTTTAAATGATAATGTAAACATCTGAGAAAATATTGGATGTAACAACAAAACTGAATGTATTTAAGGATAAATCATGAGAGAGATAGGAAAATCAATAGTATTACAAGTAATATCTTGGGATAAGTTGCATTCCGTAATGTCAAAATTAAGGAAAGAGATCGAAATTGTGATTTCGCAAGTGGAACATATCCGTGGTCTTCTGTGACACTGATATTCCATAACGGTCAACCGAATCATGATGGCTTATGGAAAACTTTTGAAGGCATTTTCACACTTGGAACTCTTTGTACATTAGCTTTTATGTAAGTAGCATAGGAAATGTAAACCTTGGAATGTCGTATCAACTCGGAAGCATGTGCTGCAGAATATTGCAAATTTCACGTTTAAATTTGGTAGACATTTTACCATTTTGAAAATATATCTAAAATTTAACTTGCCTAATATGAACAATGTGATCCTTTGCTGTGTAATCTGCCCACCTCTTTGCATTTCACACCAGTAAAGACCAGAATCAAATTGTGTCACATCAGATATTTCAATATTATATATGTCTTGTTCTTTGTCCTCGACGACATTGAATCGTTTACCCTCAGGGTCTGCCAAGGTTACATTCGAGGATGTTGCAATAATTGCACCAGCACGGCGCCATCTGTTTCCTGAGGCTTCATCAGAAAAAATGCATGACAAAATAACTGTTTCTCCTACATAATGATTTGTTGTTATGTTTGACAGTACAATTTCACCAAATGTATCTAAAATATACCATCTAAATTTTAACTTTTATTGAATGTGCTGGTTAGTTTTTACAATATTATCTTTTTAAGCATATCTGCGTTTCATAGAATTCACAGTTTTACTTAACTTTACTTTTACAGTACGTTTGATTATTTTAACATTTCTTCATTCTTACTTAAAACGTCAACAATTAACACTGCACAGCGAAGGCTGTTCAAAAAGTATATACAAGAGAGGCTTTGATAAAACAAAAAACGTATAAAAAGGGCAAACAAAACTGTAGCATGAAAAAAAGCAGACAAAACAAATACACAAAAGGTTACACAATGTTTGAATGAGGTGGACACAGAACTACATGGGTAAATTCTTACCTTCTGCCAGAACGATGTGAATAACAACCAAGAGCAGGAATCTCATTTTTGTTGAAATTCTCTGAGGATGAAAAATGTTAAAAAAAACTTTAACAACGATTTCTTAAAGGTTAAAGGTTGTGGAAGGATTGTATATAAAGCTGGAGGTTTAAGGATAGCTTTAAGTTTTCTGCCTTTTCATAAATCTACGAACTTCGATTTCGTAGAGAGAAAAAGAGTTACAAATTGATGTATTTCTTTTTCAGTTAAACTTTTGAAACAGTCATCATTATAAAATAAAGAGATGCGGTATAATTTCAAATGAGATGACTATTATTCAAAGGTCAAAGAACAAGGACGCGAACAATAACAGGTAACCTTACGGCCTTCGGCAATGAGCAAAACCCGTAAAGTAAGGAAAGCTTTTAATTGAAATGGAATGCAATGGAATAATAAAATGTGATACAATTCAAAGCACAAAGCGTTAACAATTAACGAAAAACAATAATTGAAGACAGTAGATTTTTCGTTTTAAAGGTTTCACATTTTTCTTGTGGTGGGCCTTTTTTAGCTGACTATAGGCTATAGGTTTTGCTGAATGTTGAAGGTCGCGCTCCTTCCTATTAAAGTTTATGCGAGTCCCTCATTTTTAGTTTGTCGCATTTAATTGTTTTTTCTTAATCGATAAACGTGATTTAAACATCGGTAAACTGCTTTCGTTTTAATTTAAACCCAATTACATTACAAGAACAAACATTCAATTCTTGTTAAAAAAAATTATTTTACGCAGTGTTGTTGACTTTTTAAAATATTTCAGGGTCCTACGTTAAAAACCGGTTAAATATTACAAAATTCACCGTTTCAAATCCATATTCAAACCAATTAAAACTTACAACATTCATGTCGGGTATTGACAGTCACAGACTTTTTAGACCAGTTGCCATTTAGTGAGATGTTACGGAGAAAAGATCTTTTCTAACAAAAAAACTCCTTTAAAATATAAATAATAAGATGTGGTATGGTTGCCAATGAGACAACTATCCACTAGAGAACAAATGACGTAGATGTTTACAACTATAGGTCACTGTACGGCATTAACAACAAAGGTCTCGATGCCATCAATTTAGGCAATATCATTCATTATACATCAGTTTAATCAAAAATACCTCTCAAGTTTAAAGATCAGTCTGTTCCTATCATATATCATACCTTTACCACACCTTTTGCGACTAAAATATCCAATTATCAACACGTGTTGCAAGATCTCAATAATAACGACTTCACATGTGCTTATTACCCATTCATGTATAATCCGGCTGGTAACGGTATTACTGGTGACATAACGTTATCATTCATACTTCTGTTCGAAATGTGTCAACAGAAAGGACGAAATACCAAGAGCATTAATACATATATTTGAAAAAAAACTCATCATAGATACCAGGCTTTAAATTGTATTCACCACATACTAATGGATTAAGTCCAAAATTATGCAAGACAATGGGTTAAACGTTGAAAACAAGACGGTGATAAACGTTCCATGAGTATATGATCACTCATGCTACATCAATCTTCAAAGACCCAAACGTTGTTTAACACAGTCTTACCTCCATGACAACTATATTGTTGTCCTAGCAGATAAAGCTTTGAATAACATCAATTGCGTGTATGAAAACATTACATAAACTGCTTGATAGTGAAATTAGGTATTGACAATTCACTTGGAAAAAAGTAAAATTACAAAAATACCGAACTCCGAGGAAGATTCTAAACGGAAAGTCCCTAAGTAAATGGCAAATTCAAAAGCTCAAACACATCAAACGAATGGATAACAACTGTCATATTCCTGACTTAGAACATGTATTTTCTTATGTATAAAATGGTGGATTAAACTTCAACATATATCCCCACGACTTATACCAAATTTTCAACTTTGCACTTTATTTGGCCTTATCTCATTTTTATTCAAACGTCACAGGAGAGTCTTTTGTTTTGACGTATAAAATTATAAGCCTGGTGTCTTTGTTGGGTGCTTTCCCTGTTTTCTTTAGGAATTTCAGCATAAGATAAGGAACTTGATCTGCCTTCAATGTACTGGATACCAAAATTACACACGTGTCCTTACACACAATGTTGTATTGCTGGGTCAACCAAGTGTTCCACAAAACCTCTTTCCAAACTATTAACTATTAGTTTTATCAGTAATCAAATTTGAGATTCAGATACTGTGAAACTACCTTGTCTAGGGGCGGTGAGAATTAGATGCGAATACTAAAAAAATGGAAAGGTCAAATAGTGTAAATACAATATATGTCTTATTCCTCTTGCATTAGTATGAAAACCTTTGATTTTTCTACACTAGTATATAAGTATCTCATCCTAAATAGACATATCAATAAAACTGGTCCAACTATGTTTCAAAGAAAATAATGACCAACGTAAATACAAATATCTTGTTTATCATAATTTAGTTTCGGTTTTGGGTAGGTTCGATTTTTCCGTCGTTATTTTACCGTGTTTTTTTTTTTTTTTTTTTTTTTGCCATGGCGTTTGTCAGATTTTCTTAGACTAACTAGTTTTGAATGTCTCCAGTTTCTAGTTAGCTGAAGCAGCGTTTGGAAAGAAAGCATAATACCTCTGATATTTCTGGGTAAAAATGACAAAAGTAACCAAACAATCCGTGTGTTACGTGCACAAAAACTTGAAAATGAACTGGAACGATAAAAAAAATAGAATCTAACATTCCGAAAAAGACACTAAAATAGTGTTTTTCCATTTTGAAATCTACAAAGATGTGAAAATAAAATATCTTAAAGCACATAATATAATGTCTACCCATTTTCCCCCCATTGATTTTCCCTTACGAAAATGATCGAGAACCATATTTATCGGCTCTGAAAAGCAAAATAGAGATAGACGACATTAACATCTGAAAAATACATTTTTCTTTAACTTTAAGATTGATAAGAATTATTAAAAAACTAATGTTTTCGTTTTATTCAGAAAGCTTTCGACTTTCTGGTGTTTACAATGTTTTTTTTTAAAGTATCCCGTTATCTTTTAAAAGTATATATTTTGTATAACTGAAGAAATTAACTCGGACTTAACATGGATTCTCGTTTCTTGCATTTCTCGCCCAATATAATGCGAGGGATGTATATCCATCGTTTTGTGATTCGAGAGTTTACGATATTATTCGACCAGTCTTTTTTTTTCTCTCAATGTAACTGTTAAATTAATACTACAAATCGTATGACTTTTTTACGTCTAACGTGTGATAAGATATTTGAAGCATCATTATTGATTTAAAAGAAAAAACAATTGGACAAAAATTACTACACTGTGTACAAACTCTTCAAAAGAGAAAAAGCTGCAATTAGAAAAATTTGTATATTCCCATGAGATTTGAACGAAAAATATTACTTTTACCTGATGTACTGCTACATGTATGTAACAAAATAAAAAATAAGGTCCGAAATAGTAGTAAAGGACCAATATGTAGTATTTACACAGAAAGAAATCTTTGTCTTGTAGTTTGCAAATGTTAAAAGAAATTGTACATTAAGCTATATAATTATTTGTCACTACCATAATTGATTGCGAATTGATATCCCGAGGGATGCATGTAAAGGGCAGGAGATACTTACTCTGTTGACTCACCTGGTCGTTTCAGACTGATATTACTCCCATATTTGTCTTATTAACCTTCATCATATATAACATCAGTATAGTAATCAATGTATTACGTATCAAATTCAAAATGTAAAACAAAAGTACAAACCTAATGATGGTTAGAAAGTTTCCCCAATATATTTGATGCAAGTAATATAATTTCCTTGTATATTTCCTGAAACAATTGTTTGTCTGGTGATAAACAGGAAAATATTGTTTAAATGATAGAAAACGGAAATATAACTTATTGAACAGTAATGTGTATCATCATTAGCATTTTGAATGTCATATTAAAAAGACTTTATATGTGAGCATAAAGTGGTTGGGCAACAAAAATGCATGCAGTTTGTCAACCTGCCTGTTCTTTTCTATGGAGACTGGTTATGTCGGATTTTTTCTGAGATAAAAATCATTAAATTAATTTCTTAGTGCGACTTCTGGCGTGCTATATTATAAGCCTTGTATCTTTGATAAGAATAAAAACCATACTTATATATTGAACCGATTAATTTATAATTTTCTGTATGTATCTGGCCTGTGCATGTGTACATCAAAATCCATACAGTGTTGGCAACATAAACATAAAACTTAGTTTACAAGTTCATTATCACTATTTTTTGTATTTTTTTGTGATCATTTTTTAGATCATGCTACTTATAACTAAGGGCGCACGTGCCGTTGTCAATGTAAATATCAATGACGTCATAGGCTAAATAGCGATAAACAGATTATAAATTCTTGCCCTCCGATGAAAATGAAGCTGAGAAACACCTTTCGTTTGAAAAAATATCGATGATCTATAATTATGATGTGATCTTTTTTAAAGACTTTCAATTGAAATGTTGGTAAATAATTATGATGTGATCTTTTTTAAAGACTTTCAATTGAAATGTTGGTAAATAATTATGATGTGATCTTTTTTAAAAACTTTCAATTGAAATGTTGGTATAAGTTTAGGAGACAGTAGTTTACGGATTTTGAAATTTCGTAAATCGATAAGGAAGAGATAAATCAGAATTACAAACAAAAACTGAAGGAATCACATGAACTCCAAAGACAGCGAGACCGGAAAAGCGTCTTCTGTTATGAGTGCATATAAGATAGATTGAAGTTATAGTAAAAGGTAGATAAACATGAAGTTAATTATGATGTGAGTTTGTAAAGCAATATGCAAAATTAGGGTTTTGACCCAATATTTTATGGTTCACTGCAATGGAAATATGATAGTGCGGGTGGTGCATGGTGTGCTATCGACACACCTTCTTGTCTAAAGTATTTATTAAATGATTTATATTGCACTCATTTATCAATAAGTCCAACATGATAAGAATCAATATTTCTTATAGATAGAACTACCTCAGATAAAATAGGTATACTATTTACAAAAGGATGGGAACAAATATTTCAGGGGTCTTATCAATTCGCGAAGCTTTGAATCTAATATTACAGTAGGAATTGCCTTAACGTTTCTTTGCCGGTAGCGTAAAAAATGAGGCGGATAATATCAAAAGGAAATTGAAACTTATTAGTTGAAGAGAGACCAAGAAAATTATTGCAAAACACAACAAAATAGACAAACAATAGTCGACAAAACATTACATACAAAACTAAAGACTACGACACGAGAACGGCACCAAACCCGGAAGTTATCTCAGGGGCAGAGGTAACAGAAGTTTACCGATGTTTAAATCTCATTTATAGATATAAGAAGATGTGGTATGATCCATTAAGAATAAACCAATCAAGGTGAAAAAAAAAGAATCATATGAACTCCAAAGAGGACCGGATCTGTCGACAAATACGTTGAGAATAGGACGTTGATTACATTATAAACGCCAGATTTTAAGATAACTATGAGTATGAAGAGAAGAAAGAAGTTATGCACAACATAACTTCCAAAATATACTACCAAACAGAAAATAAAATTTGATAAAACGGAAATGAAAAATGGGATCTTTAGATAACTTCATTATAGGAGGTGCACAACTTCAATAAGCTCAGTTGCAAGAATCTGGATTTAAAAGTGTGGAAGGAGTTAAGAAATGGGGAAAAAAATAACCATTATTATAGGTGCCCAACTTCAATATATGCTATATTCGTCAACGAGGTTTCAAAGATAAGTAGGAAAAAGATTAAAACAACACTTGATAAAGTTCATGCGTCCGAAGGGCTTTTCTGGATTTGTCATCAGGAAAGCTGATGACGAATATTTTATAGTCAATGATGTATTAACACCGAAACAGATTAAGAGCTATATATTCTTTAACATCATTTACAAAGAATAAAATTTTACAAAATCACAAATCTGTCCTTTCTTTTGGTATTAACATCAAAGAAAACGAAGAAAATCTACCGTCATTATACTGGATACCAAAACTTCACAAAACTCCTTATAAAGAACGATACATAGCTGGATCATCAAGATGTTCAACTAAACATCTTTCTTAAGTGCTGACTACTATTCTTTCTGCAGTAAAAGTTGGCCTTCAAAAATATTGTGATGAGATATGAATATTCAATCAGTGGTGTCAATCAGATGTGGATTCTCAAAAATTCTAAAGATCTACTGCTAAATCTTAGATCACAATCTCTGCAATTTTGCAGCATCCTTAAAACTTTTGATTTTCCTACGCTTTACACTACTGTTCCCCATACTCAATTGAAAGATCGACTTCACTATCTCATTAAATAGAACTTTTTCTATAAAAATGGGAATCGTAGATATAAGTTTCTTGTTTTGGGTTATAATAATTCTTAATTTGTGAAGAACCACGCTGATTCTATCAGAAAATATACTGAAGATGATATTATCAAAATGCTGGACGATATTTTTGGGAGGATTGATATTTCAACAGAAAGTCGGTATTCCAATGGGTACTAATTTTGCACCTCTACTGGCCGATTTGTTTTTGTATTCGTATAAAGCAGAATTCATTCAGAACCTTCTAAAAGAAAAAAAGAAAAAAGCACCATGCGAAATTCTTTAATTTTACTTTTATTTATATTGATGATGTCCAATCATTGAATAACCTTTATATCAGTCAGTACTAACATCTCATATATCCCAGTGAACTTGAAATTAAGGATAGTACTGATACTAGAAGGACTGTTTCATACCTTAATCTTTATCTCAATTTTTACACAGATGGACGACTTCACACTAAAACCTATGACAAACGGGACGATTACCATTTCCCAATTATCAGTTTCCCATTGCTCAGCAGTAACATACCCTCTGTCCCATCGTATGGTGTTTACATATCTCAGTTGATACGTTATGCTTGTGCATGTTCATACTATACGGACTTCAAATACAGGAGTGTGCTCCTTACGCAGAAATTTTGGGTCATTGACTTTTTTACATCCCTTGTTCGATACAGCTGCTAGTGGGCTATCAGTTCCCGAGGGCATCATCAGCTCAGTATTCAGTACTTCGGTACTGACATGATTTATAATAAACATTTCTTAATTGTCCGTTCATACATTTAGAAATTATTAAGACACTTAGGTTTCAACCCCCTCATGCAAAGTTGACCTGAAATAGATTTGGCTATTATTCAAGGCCTTTTTGGTCATTCATATAGATAAAGGCAACAGTAGTATACCGCTGTTCAATAGTCATAAATCGATCAAGCGAACAAAAATCCGGGTTACAAACTAAAACTACATCCTTGGCTTTAAAATATTCGGCTTTGAGCGTTCTTGATGAAGGTAAATCCAGAAAAGCGCTTTAGACGCATAAAATTTATAACGTGCTGTTTTCAATTTTTTTCAGCACTGGATCGATACCTCTGCTGGTGGACTATCCGTCCCCGAGGGTATCATCAACTCAGTAGTCAATGCTTGGGTACTGACATGATTTATAGCAAAATTTTCTAAAAGTGTCCGTTTATGAATTTTTAAATTATTTAGAAACTAAGATTTCAACTTCCTCAGGCAAAGTTAGACTCAGAGGGATTTGGCTATTTTTTTAGGTCCTTTTTGGTTATACAGCTCTTCAACTGTATAGTTCTTGTACATTCTTGGCTTTCAAATATTCGACTTTGAGCGTTCTTGAAAAAGGTAAATCGAGAAAGCGCTTTGGACGCTTATAATTTATAACGTGTTGATTTCTATTTTTACATCACTGGGTCGATACCTCTGCTTGTGGACTATCAGTCCCCGAGGGTATCATCAGCTCAGTAGTCAGTACTTCGGTACTGACATGATTTATAACAAACCTTTATAAAATCGTCCGTTTATAAATTTTGAAAATATAAAGAAATTAAGGTTTTAACTCTCTCAAGGAAAGTTGGCCTAAGAAGGATTTGGCTATATTCATAGATCCTTTTTTTTTTTTTTATATAGCTCTTCAATTGTTCGGTTCTTATCCATCCTTGGCTTTCAAATATTCCACTTTGAGCGTTTCTAATGAAGGAAAATCCAGAAAATCGCTTCGGACCCATCAATTTTATAACATGCTTTTTCGTTTTTTAATGGAAATGAACCGGATGTTATGACTGTATAAAAGCGGTTTTCTGGATTTACCTTTATCAAGAACTCGCAATGTTATGTTCTATCTCGCTACCCTCATCTGATAATAATACTTTTTTTATAGTTTCAAAATAAAACAACTGAAGATATCTTTGCATTGAGAAACACACCAAGGAATTGTGATAAGTTGTATTAAATTGCATTGAAGGTAATAAAACATAACATAATAATATAATAATATAAGTCCAAAACGTCAGCACAATCCTTGAATCACAATCTACAAATACAAGTTTGAGATATTAAAAAAAGAACAAAATTATTTACAAAGTAATATCTATATCTATAAGTCTAAATTGAAAACAAAGTTCAAACCTATGATTGCGTTGGATAAAAACCACAATTTATACATCATAATTACGATAAATAAAATCTGAACACAATTAAAGAACTTACGTTGGTGTTTTCTCGACAATTGGAAAAAGTCGCCAAAATGAATAACTAATAGGTATCCTTAGTTTCTTATTACGCAAAGAAAATGAAAATAGATATTTTAATTAATAAGAAATGTTATTCTCGGTATTGATTTTGTACTTTTTGTCTATCGTTGAAGATTGTATGCTGATTTCTATTTGTTTTTGTTTTGTTTTGTTGTGTAGATTGTTTGCTGTCTCATCGATGTTTAGCACACGTCTGCCTTCTTCGTAATTGAAATGAACTACTGGCAGCTGTTCCATGAATCCCTAAAAAAAACAATTACAGCGTAGGTCGTCGTTCCTATGACAGAATATGTTATACAGTTATACAGAAAGTTACATTATGACGTTAAATTACCTTTTTATTTCCATTTATTTCAGTCAAACGTCTTAAAAATGTTTCGGCAAAACTGTCGTTATTTTTTTATTGGTTAAGCTCAGTGGACATTAAAATATTTCAAATCTTCACATGGTTAAACACATTCATTTGACCTCAGAAAGTAAAAATACCATGCACAACAAATAACAATAATTTGAGGCATTTGCATAGTTTGAATCATTGGTATAGGAGCACATTCATGTTCTGGAAACTTAATTTTAAAATGTATGTAGTGATTAAAACATACTCAGTACTTACCATAAAATAGCCTGTTTCAGAATAATTAGTGCAAAATATTCGTCGTCAATCGTCAAATGAAGTATGAATATGAATTTTGAAAATGATATATACATGTGAAACATATAACAATGAAACACAGAAAACAGAAAAACAGAAAATGCTAAAACAAATATTGCCAAATATGTTGAATATATATGTCATAATATATCATGTGACACATTTATCAATATCTTATTTATGTTTTGATTTATGAACAATAGTTAATAACGTGTAAACATTTAGGGTGCCAGGTTAACTGCTTTCTTTCATCTAGGTTGTATGTTTAAAGTTGTAGCACTAAATCATATACTAAGCCACGAGACCATAATGGCGGAAGGGTGTTCCATATACTCAAAATTCAGTATTTTTGGAAGAACTGTGAAATTTATATATATTTAAGTCAAAGAATTAGCCTACGATACATATATGTTTACATTTGCTGGTTGAAATATACATAATGACACAAGCTGTTTTTACTTTTTGTACGATAGGTATACTACCTTCTTCTTAAGAGAAAGAAGAGATTCATTTGGGAACAGCACAAAAACTTTGTAGAATCGAAGTAATTGGTGTATTTGGCATGACTTTTTGAGCACACATATCTTGGCGTTCTGCCTGTTTTGATTCGGGCGCGAGACTGATGAGTCTAGGCAATATAACCTTATCTCGACTGTTATTTTTTAGTAATACCCCTCTTGAACCTGATATGTCTCTCCTATTACACTGAGAATATACAGAGTTGGTTAAGTTAAACATTCTAAATTTAATTCCCTTATTCGTTCGCTTCAAGACAAGATTGTAAAAGAAATAGAATTCCAATAAAGCTTACAATTTATGTCCTTTTACATATATTCCGACATTGACGCAATATGAACAAGATTTCGTCGTATAAAAAAACTACATGAAAAATACACTAGATAATCAAAATCTGGGATATTTATTTCATGTCTAATTATAGAAAATACTTGATAAACAGAATGGCTTACATAATATGACAGTTGTTATCCATTCGTTTGATGTGTTTGAGCTTTTGATTTTGCCATTTGCTTAGGGACTTTCGGTTTAGAATTTTCCTCGGAGTTCGGTATTTTTGTTATTTAATTTTTTACATTAAGGAAGGAAAAAAGGCAACAGTAGTATACCGCTGTTTTATCATCGGGATCGGGGAAACACTTTACAGAGAACTAAAAGTAATTTATAAAAAAAAATATCGCAAAAAATCAATTACCGTAATTCAACCTGCAATATATTCGTACATCTCATTCTGAATTCAAATTTTGACGTTTTTAATTTTACAGTCATTTGTACGAAGTAACCATACACTTAAGCAAATCATAATGTATAAGTAACTTGCCTATTTGCAGTGTGACCTTTTGCTGCATAATTTGTCCACCAAATCGCATTTCACACCAGTAAAGACCACTATCAGATTGTATCACACCAGAAATTTCAAAATTGTATTCACCCTTCATTTCGTCTACGACAACATTGAATCGTTTGCGGTCGTCAGGGTTTTCCACATTTAAATCCAAGCCTTTTGCAATAATTCCCTGCCAGCGACGCCATCTAACCTTTGTGGCACCACGAGGATACTTGCATGACAAAACAACTTTTTCTCCAATATAAGCATGTTGTGCTTTGTTGGAAAGTACAAATTTATCATCTGTATCTGTAATATAAAATCTAACTTTTGACTGTTATTGACAGTGCTGGTTAGTCTTTACAAGATTTATTGTAAACATTTATGTGTTTTATAGCATTCACAATTTTCTATAAAAAAAAAAAATAAAGCGAATAAATTTCTTATTAAACAATTTTAATCTCTAATTATAATTTTTTACCCTAAATTTGCCAGTGAGTTTGATTACTCTTACAAATGAACATTCTCGGCAAGCAAACGGTCAGCCATCTTAGTGCTGTATAGCATGGACCCATTATGTGTCCCCAAAAATATACAAGAAGGAATTGGTTATTAAAAATCATTGGGCATCATTAACAACAAACAGCGCGTGCCTAGAATAAAAGCAAAAGTTTACAAAATGCTACACAAAAAACTTTAAATTAAGTTGGACGCTGATTTAGCAAATCATGTTACCCTAAAAAGTACAAAATTGGTTCCCATAGTAATGTGGCAAGCAAATATATATAATAAGTCGACTAAAAAATGTAAGCTTTTAAGATGATATCAATACCAAAGGTTTTTCTATCTTAAAAATAACAAAGGCAACTACGTCTGTCATTATTTTTTAACAATAAGTGTGATACATAGATTCATCAGAAATGAAAAGCTTCGTGGAATACATATGTTACACAATATAGTAAATATTGTATGATAGTAACGGGATTCATGTAAATGACAAATATAACCAATCGGACTGATAATTTAAACAAGAGGCGCCGCCAAGAAGCCGGAATCGTTTAATCTTTGTTTTTTTTCTACCCTAGGCATACATTGCCTTGGTGTATTTTGTACAACTGATGATTTTATGTAGACGGAATGCGCGTATAAACGTATTTACACTTTTGGTATTTAGCTGAATTTTTTCTACGAATGACCCAAGATCTGTATCCGAATAACCTTCTGACGTCAAGCAACAATCACTTTTTAATTATGACGTAAAATTTTAAATTGTGATGTCAAATTTTACGGGAACTTGTGTGATTTTAAGTAATGGCGGACATTTGCATACAAGTGTAAATACGTCTATTGGTTAACCAATTTAGGCTTGTATCTTTGATGAGTATTTATAAAACTTGTATTGCTGTCATTTTATAGATTTCAAGAATGATAATAAAAACTCCCCTAAAAATCGTCACCCAAAAGGACATAACACTCTAAGGCTTGCTGTTATACTTTTAAGATAAAATGGGCAAATATTCAAAAAATCATCTTTCAAGGGCAAAACCTCCAATTAAACATCTTCCAAAGGTAGCAAATATGTTGTCAATCCACAAAGAATGCATTTTTACGATGTCAAATACACTACCTATCAAGCAATCAAAATCTAAAAGACTCATATGAGGTGTAGATATAGTAAGTATTGAAGAGGAAAACAAAACGGACTGTGTTAAGGAAGAAATCATTGGGATCAAGATGTAAAAAAACAATTCAAAGTTAAGTAGACGAAAAGAATGAAAAGCAATTGCAAACTTCATTTCCCATCATTCCAACTGTGTAATGTTTTTAGACATTTTAATTCAAACCTTGACATTTTTTTATTTTTCATATTTTTTAATAACTTGTGCGAAATATCAAACCATAAGGCAAAACGTATTTAAGTGTAACTTGCCTATGTACAATGTGACCTTTTGCTGCATAATTTTTCCACCAATTCGCATTTCACACCAGTAAAGACCACTATCAGATTGTTCCACATCAGATATTTTAAGATTGTAGTCACCCTTCTTTCGATCTGCAACAACATTGAATCGTTTGCGGTCGTCAGCATTTTTCAGTTTTAAATTGGAGGCTTTTGCAATAATTCCTTGCCAGCGCCGCCATCTGATTTTTGTGGCACCATGATGATACCTGCATGACAAAACAACTGTTTCTCCAATATGAGTATGTTGTGCTTTGTTTGACAGGACAATTTCACCAAATTTATCTGAAATGTACAATCTAAATTTTTACTTTTATTGATAGTTATTACAGGACAGTGTTTATAAATTCACAGTTTTCTTAAACATTACTATTCCATTAATTTGTCATTAAAAAAATTACAATTTCTGATTATCATTTTTTACCTAAATCTACCAGTTAATGTTGGTCACTTGAAGATATACCGGGTGGTATTTTGTAATAAAAAAAGTAAGGGGAATGAAAAACAAAGTGTGGCTAGAACAAAAAAGTTCACAAAATACTTAACAAAAAACTAAAAAATAAGCTTCACGCTGGGTTCACAGTAATGGACACACCAGAAGAGAAATGAGATGACAAACAAACAAATTAGTTCACAATAAAAATGTAAGCATTCAAGATGATGGTGTTTCCCCTTTCTTAAACATATCAATGACATTTAAGTTGGTCATCTTTTTTTTCAAAATTAGTGTGATTAACAGGCACATCAGAAATGAAAGGCTACGTGGTAGAACTTGGAATATATATATACAATAATATATAATAGATTAGATTTTAAGTAAAGGTTTAAACTTCTGTCCTATCCCATCAAATGTAAATAACTTTCAGCTAGACGAGGACTTAGACCAATTCGCTAGACGTTTACGCTTGAAAGATTTTTTTCTACAATAGGGGCAAGAAACACCTTGAAGAAGCCGGATTAACAGATTCAGATACTGAGGACAATATAGAAGTCACGCCCATCCCAAAATTTAGAAAAAAAAAGTTCATGGAAACCACCAAAAAGTAAAAACGAAAACTTGGAGTCATTTATTAACTACGTGAGGTCTGATATAAAGTCCTGTATAACAAATAAAAGAAATTATAATTTATCCAAGTCAGAAAGCATCGCTTTGAAAGCGTTAAAAGTCAAGAGGATATTGTAAGAAAACCTGCCGACAAAGGGGGCGCTGTGGTTGACATGAATAAAACAGATTACATAGCCGAGGGGAATCATCAACTGTCAAACTCCAATTTTTACAAGCAATTAACCACAGATCCAACACAAACTACCATTCGAAAGATCAACACCATCCTTCAAGAGATGTGCGACCAAAAGCATATCGATAATGACACCTTTGACTATCTTTGACCTCTTGAGAACGAAGCAAAGGCTGGAAGGTTCTATATGTTGCCTAAAATACACAAAACCGGCAATCCAGGTCGACCTATTGTTTCAGCGAATAGTCACCCAACTGAAAAGATATCCGAATTTGTAGACCATCACTTAAGACCTCATGTTAAAGAACTACACTCTTACATTCAGGATACGACAGATTATTTAAAGAAAATGGAAAGCCTTAATCCTCTACCTGACAATACTATACTCGCATCCATGGACGTGTCTTCTTTATATACCAACATTCCACAAGACGAAGGAATAGCAGCGTGTGAAGAGGTATGGAACACTCGTAGTGACAAAATCTTCCAACTGTGTGCCTTGTTACACTTCAGAAACTAGTGCTGGAGAACAACAACTTCTCTTTCAATGACAAACACTATCTCCAGATAGACGGCACTAGTACGGGCACAAAATTGGCCCCGTCATATGCCAACATATTTATGGGCCAACTTGAAAAACGCCTCTTGGCCAGTGCTCCATACTCCTAAAAGTTGCTATCCTAAACACTGCTCCCGGGGTATCCCATTCAGCCAGGCATTGCGAATCAGGAGAATATGCTCAACCAAAAATAAGCAAAATGCTAGACTTGGACAACAACATAAACATCTAGTTGTTCGAGGATACAATAACAACATCATTGATACAGCTTTCGAAAGAGCAAACAACACTAGTCGCCATGAACTTCTGGAGTACAAGGATAAAAATAAAGGATTCAACAGAACACCTCATGTACTCACTTACCATCCTGATTTTAAAAATATGTCATCCATTGTTCAAAAGCATTGGAAAATTGTAGAAAATGACTCCAATTTAAAAAAAAGTATTTTCCTCACCACCAGTTATGGCCTTCAGACCTAAAAACATCCATGACAAATTAGTGACAGCTGTATTAACAAAGCAACCTTATCCACATCCTGGTTGCTACAAACAGTGTAGTAGAAAAAATTGCATATGTTGTAAAGCTGCCAATACAAGCAGTTCTTTCATCAGCTCCTTTACAAAATAAAGTTATACCATCTACTCAAATTACAACTGTAAAACGGAGAACTCAATTTATGTATTAACATGTAACACTTGTGGCATTCAGTATGTGGAAAAAACAATGGATAAATTTAATATTCGGCTAAATAACCATCGTTCATGGTACAAAACCAACAAAAACTGTCCTCTCACAAGACATCTTCGCTCAAAGAAACATCCTTTTGATAATGTTACTTTCCAAATCATAGAGGTCAACAGCGAGTGGGACACTACGGCGAGAAGGAGAAGAGAAAACTTTTGGATCCACCAGCTCCACACCTTAGAACCTGATGGTCTTAATAAAAAAGACGAGAAAAGATACAGGAAAGATAAAGAATAATTTAATACACAGCATCGTCCTTTTTATCCTGTAATATTGGCCAATGGACGTTGCAAACTTCAACCACCTATTTTGTAAATAATCTTGAACTTCATCCAAATTTTGATTTTTTTACAAGACAGCTAAATTTATGTACAATGAGCTGCAAAAGTTTCTTATCGACATCCGATTTCACCTGGATAGATGCACGCTTGATGAAGCTAGTTTGTCTAGCGAAATATTGTCGCGTTGTAAATATTTTAAACATACTAATATTTACATACTCAATAGTGTGTTAAAATTACATTGTTAGGCAATTTACAATTAATAATATATAATATATATAATTCGTCTCAAATTTAGCCCAACAATGTTAGATCTTCAAATTTGCGTTAGCAAATTTTTGTTCTTCCTTCAGCGGGATTTTAACCCTTGCTTTTGTGACATCGTGGCAACACCGCCTGCACCGTGTCCAGTGCCATATATATGTTCAACACTATATTAAGTATTGCATAATAGTAACGTGGTTCATTTATTACATTTGGCCTTTTATTTTTTTGTGATTCGAGCGTCACTGATGAATCTTTTGTAGATGAAAACGCTTGCCTGGAGTACAAAATTATAAGCTTGGTATCTTTAAAAAGTGTTTTTACTTGCTCTCTTCAATGAAAATTGAAACAAGCCTGACTTATATTTGTATTGCGAATCATTTTACTGTTTAATTTTTCTGTAATAACATATTTGTTTAGTTTGGTGGATTGACATTTCAGTAGACATTAAGTATTCGATTGGGTACTTATTGTACACTACTACCGACCGCCTTTACTTGTTTTATACTCGTATGAAGCACAATTCATATTGAACTCCTCAAAGACAAAAAGACAAATTTTTCTTTTTTCTATGCCAGATAAACTGTTGATGTCCTGTCGTTCAATAACTCAAATTTAAATGAGTTCTCACAAACCATATATCCCAGTGAAGATGAGATTAAGGATACTATCGAAAGTAGAAGGTTTGCTCGATATTGACATAGATGGACAACTTCGAACTAGAATCTATGGCATGATCAGGTAGTAACAGTACCTTTATTCTATCATGTGGTGTTTAACATATCTCTGTTAATACGGTACGCTCGTACATGTTCATACTGTACGATCTTCAATGACATGGGTGTGCTCCTTAAAACAAACACTGATCCAACATAGAAATGAAGAAGAACGACTGAAATTGGCACCTCAAGTTTTACGGTCACCATCACGATGTTGGTGACTCAACTCTTTAGCGACATGTTTTCACAATCTGAGATCTTTAGATACAAGCATGGTCGTTTTATCTGTAATTTACCGATTGTAATATTGACTGATTTTAGAATCTCATGGCGGGTGCTGTATGCATAGCAGGAGACCATGTAGTAGACGAGAAGCGTATCTGACAATAAGACTGGCATCTTTAATGGGTATTTAATGCTTTTCAACTATGTATTTGATTTGGTCTTTCAACTGCTTTAATTCGGGCGATAATGATGAGTCTCATAGAGAAGAATCGCACGTCTGGCTTACCAAAAAGTAAAATAAAAAAATACCGATCTCCAAGGAAAATTCATAAAGTAAGTCCTTTATCAAATGGCAAAATCAAAAGTTCATACACATCAAACGAATGGAAAACAACTGTCATATTCCCGACTTGGTACAGGCATTTCCTTATGTAGAAAATGGGGGATTTAACTTGGTTTTATAGCTAGCTAAACCTCTCACATGTATGACAGTTGCATAGAATTCCAAGAGAACAAACATTCATAATAAGGGGTCCAGCAGTCAACACTGTGTTTAAATCTTAATCACTTTAATGGTTAGCCTGATAATTTGATCAGATTTCATAGATTTGTGCTGATCATTTTACAGATTTCGAGGATCGGCGGGAAAAAAAACCCCTATAAAAATTGTGATGAAGGACCATTACTCATGAAAGGGGTCCATAAATCATTTCTTTCATGTAGGCATTGTAGTATTTTTTAACCGATTTTTTTGCTGTTTTTAGATTCTGTCTTTCTCATGTTTCTGTAATTGTTTTCAAGATAATAGGCTCATGTCTTCTAAAAGTAGCAGATACGTTATCAATAAAACAAAATTAAACATCTTGATGATGTCAAATACACAAGCTATCAACCAATCAAAATCCTGGATACTTAAATACGGTTTAATGGTATGGTAATAAATTTTAGATATTAGCACCGAACTGCTATACTGTTGTTCGTTTGAAGTAAAGCGTACTTTTGTCTTTATTTTAATCTGTACGAAGAACCATACCATAATGCATTACATATTTTTAAGTTGAACTTGCCTATGTATAATGTGACCCTTTGCTGCGTTATATCTCCTCCTATTTGCATTTCACACCAGTAAAGACCACTATCAGGTTGTATCACATCAGATATTTCAAGATTGTATTCACCCTTCATTTGGTTTGCGACAACATTGAATCGCTTCATGTCGTCAGTTTGTGTCAATTCTAAATCCGAGGATTTTGCAATAATTCCCTGCCAGCTTCGCCATCTGATTTTTGTGGCACCGTGGGGATACTTGCATGACAAAACTACTGTTTTCCCAATATGAGTATGTTGTGCTTTGTTGGACAGGACAATTTCACCAAATGTATCTTGAAAAAAAATCAAAATTTTTTATTTTATCGACTGTGCTGGCTAGGCGATAAAAAATTTCTTTAAAACATTTCAGTCTTTTATAAACTTCAAAGTGTTGTAAAAAAATTCTAGTTTAAACATTTGTCATTGAAATTTCTGAGTATCATTTTAATCATTAATTTATCAGTAACTTTGATTACTCCTAGATATCAACATTTTTAGTTAAAAACCATCATCCACCTTACATATATATAATTAGTGCTGTGAAGCCTGTCCCCATTCTTGGTCTCAAAAAAGAAAATATACCAGAAGGAATTTGGTTATCAAAAATCGTTTGGTGAACTACAGACGATAGTTGGCTTGAATATAAACCAAAGATCAAAAACAATGCTACACAAAAAAAAAAAAAAAAAAATTCAGCTGGACGCTTTGTTAGCATTACATGAACTGCCATAAGAGTAACATAAACTGTTATCACAGAGATATATCTCGCTTTTTTGTAATTTTGCTTATGCAAATGTTGAAATTAAAATGGCAATACTTAACAAGTTAGGCTAATATTCAAAGTAAATGAACCATGACTGAGGTACATGGCTAAACCATCTCCATGTAAATGAGATGCGCCAATGCTAATACAACTGCATACCAAATATCATTGACTTATTAGAAGTTGTTCCCTTTAAACAAACCTAAACACAAACATTAACTTGTAAACTATGTAAAAGTTTCAAAGTCAATGAACCGTGAAGAGGGGTGGAGCTATATAATCTCCATGGAAACGATACTTACAAATTCCACTAATTTGCATACCAAATATCATTGACCTAACATTAGCAGTTCATCTTAAACTGATTTTATCACAAACTAATACATGTAAACTAAGCAAAAGTTTCAAAATCAATAAGCCATGACTGAGGGGATGGGGCCAAATATTCTCCATGAAAATGAGATGTGCTAATGTTTATTCAACTGAATACCAATCAACATTGGCCTACCACTAATGGTTCCCCTTGACCTGACCTAATCACAAACTAATACATGTTAACTAAGCAAAATTTTCAAAATCAATAGACCATGACTAAGGGAGCTGAGCCAAGTAATCTCCATGGAAATGAGATGTGCCAATGCTTATACAACTGCATACTAAATATCATTGACCTACCACTAATGGTTCCTCATAAACTGACCTAATCACAAACTAATACATGTAAAATAAGCAAAAGTTTAAAGTCAATAGACCATGACTGAGGGGGCAGGGCCAAATAATCTCCATGGAACTGAGATGTGCCAATGCTAATACAACTGTATACCAAATATCATTGACCTACAACTTGTGGTTCACCACAAACTAGACCTAATCACAAACAAATACATTGTTGACGACGCCACCGCCGCCGCCGCCGTCGCCGCCGTCGTCACCGAATTCGGAAACAGCATACCTATGTCTCGCTTTTTGACTCCGTCAAGCGAGACAAAAATTAGTTCCGTAGATATGCAGAAAGCAAACATAAAAAATAAGTTCACAGTAAAAATGTAAGCATTGAAGATGAGGTCAATTTCAAAGGTTTTTTTTCTTTTTGTTCTTAACCATAACAAAGGCATCTACGTTTGTCATTATTTTTTCGTGTAATGCACAGTTTCATCAGAAATGAAAGGCTACGTGGTAGTACTTGAAATGTATAATATATATATATATATAAATATGTTAGACACTATAAAAAGTATAGCATGATAGTAACGTGATTTTTTTAATCGATCTCGTCAATGGCAATTTAACCAACTTGACCTATAATTTAAACTAGAGGCTCAAAGGAGCCTTATTCAGTAATCTGATAAAAATTTTACATAAAAATCAGGAAATTTTGTAACGCTGATACTTTTTTTCTGTTTAAAGTTTCTATCTATCCATGATACTCTTCTAAATATAAAATGTTGAATGAAGAAAGTGTGATAAGGCCACTTTTTGGCACCTTGAGTTCGAGAATCAAAAAGTATTATAAACCTACCAAATAACATACTTCAGAAGTTCATAGTACATAAGTCTGTCGGACATTACTATCTACAATTTGGAATTTAGTCTTAAACATATTGGCATTAGGGCTTCAAACTTCTTAATATAGTGCAAAAACTCCCAAGTCAGGAGCCTGTAATTCAGTGGTTGACGTTTGTTGCTGTATATCATATTTGTTTTTCGTTCATTATTTTGTACATAAATCACACCGTTAGTTTTCTCGTTTGAATTGTTTTACATTTGTCATTTTGGGGCCTTTTATAGCTGAATTTGCGGTATGAGTTTTACTCATTGTTGAAGGCTGTGCGTTGACCTATAGTTGTTAATTTCTGTGTCATTTGGTCTCTTGTGGAGAGGTGTCTCATTGGCAATCATACCACATCTTCCTATTTTTATAACTATGAGATCTTGCCATTAATATAGATATGAGCAAGAGCTTTACCCAAAAAGATATTTTGCATCAAAATCTATTTTACAAAGAATTTAATGTGTGTAAAATATCTTTTTGTGCAAAGCTCTTGCTCATTTAAATTTTGACTAAAATTTTGCGTGAAATGACCATTCTAGGTCAAATATGTAATTTTCGACATATTTATGGCGTTATAGTGAGATCACAAATGAACTTTCAGTACTATTTATTCCAAGATTAAAGCAACTGGTTCATATATCAATTAAACTTACATAATTTTGGAAGGATTGAATACGTTTACTATTTTTGAAATTTCAAAGCTAAAAATTGCTCTTATCATACCTCCTCCTTTGTTTTTTTTTTTTAAAGTCATTTTAAGGTCATTAACTTTTATACAAAGTTGATTAATGGTTAATATCAGTTCGGATCTTGTATTTCTGACTTTTTTATTTTTTATTTTTGTTGTTGCTGATAACAATTCCGTTTATTGAAGTTTTTAAAATAATAGACAAAAACGATAAAATTCCTCAAAAAGAGTCAATAAAACGCGTTAAATCTCATTATGACCTCAAGCAACTGTCTACAGACCACCACACAGAAAACTAAAGACTGAGCAACAAGAACCTAAGCAATAACCACGGGCGAACTCAGATTTTTCGAAAGAGTCCAATGGGAACACACGCTCAAACATGGACACATGTGTTAACAAAAATAATTTGATGAATCTATGATTAAATTTAAAACGATTGACACATTTGTTTTCACCATGCTGTTAAAAATGATATGTGACTGTCTAACTGCTTTTGCGATATCAGTATATCCAAGACATGCGTAAGTTCTTACCTTCTGCCAATACGATATGAATAACAATCAACAGCAAGAACCTCATTTTATCGGATATTCTTGTACATTCTCTGAAAATGAAAAATAAATCTATAATTTTTTCGCTATTGGCACTCGTCAAGATAGAAAATCATCGCTAGAAACTAAAGGAGCACGTGCTGTTGTCAATGAAAACGTCAACGAAGTCATAGGCAAAATAGCGATAAACAGATTATCAAAGGTCTTTCAAACTCGGGGATGTTCCTAGGGGCACATCTCATCTTAGACAGTCCTTCGATCAGATTTGAAAACCATCGACAATCTATAAATGTCTACAATATCTTTAAATGTTAAAAGTAGTGATAGGTTTAACTAAAGCTTGATAAAAATATATCAACCTTCAATTTCTGCCTTTTTGTATAAATCTGTGAAATTTGATTCAGCTGAAATAAAGAAGTAGCAAATCAACTTATTCCATTTTCTGTCACGTTATGGCCTTCAGCAATAATCAAAACCCAAACCATCTTTTAAGCTAAAGACAATAAACAGAAACAATCATGGAAGACAAAACCATCAACAACCACTGGATTTTAGGGTCAGGTCTTGCGAAAGAGTAAAATGCCAAAAATACCGAACACCAAAGGAAAATTCAAAACGGAAAGTCCTTCATCAAATGGCAAAATCAGCGACAGACACATCGAGAAATGTGAAGGTTCTGCTTGTGAGCCCTCAACCCTTGTAACAGAAATAACCAAATTAACTTTTTAAAAATCATTTGAAAAGGAACTGAGATCGATACTGAGCACAAACAATGTCTAACAAAGTGACAAAAGAATTCGCAGATACTGAAATCTAGTTCAAAGTCGACATATATGTTTAACCCCGCCGCATTTTTGCGCCTGTCCCAAGTCAGGAGCCTCTAGCCTTTATTAGTCTTGTATCATTTTTAATTTTAGTTTCTTGTGTATAATTTGGAGTTTAGTATGACGTCCATTATCACTGAACTAGTATACATATTTGTTATGGGGCCAGCTGAAGGACGCCTCCGGGTGCGAGAGTTTCTCGCTGCATTGAAGACCCATTGGTGGCCTTCGGCTGTTGTCCGTGTTAGGCGCAACTTTTTGGAAGTTTTGGTCCTCGGTGCTCTTCAGCTTTGTACTTGATTTGGCTTTCAAACTTTTTTCATCTGAGCGTCACTGGTTGGTCTTGTGTGAACGAGACGTACGTCTGGCGTATTGAATTTTTAAGCCTAGTACCTTTTGTTAGCTATTATTCGTGTGTTTCTTTGTCCTATATGTTCTCCCATTTATTTGTATTGTGGTCCTGTCATGTGATGTTGTCGTTTTGGTGTTGTGTTTGACGTTGACATAAAAGCGGGAGGTTCGGCATGCCACAAAACCAGGTTCAACCCACCATTTTTTTCTTAAAATGTCCTGTACCAAGTCAGGAAAATGGCCATTGTTATATTATAGTTCGTTTCTGTGTGTGTTACATTTTAATGTTGTGTTTTGTTGTGTCGTTGTTCTCCTCTTATATTTGATGCGTTTACCTCAGTTTTAGTTTGTAACCCGGATTTGTTTTTATCTCTATCGATTTATGAGTTTTCGAACAGCGGTATACTACTGTTGCCTTTATCTATGGTCGGGTTGTTGTCTCTTTGACACATTCCTCATTTCCATTCTCAATTTTATATACATAAACCATGTTTTCCAAGATATATCAATCATGTTGTCTCACTGATGTGAACCCAAAATCTATCGTATTATAGAAAATGACGTGATGACTCCTGTGAACATTAATTCTATACAAAATATCTATATCTCTGGCTTTTATATTCCAATTGTCAGCAAAATATTACTTCCACACAACAAGTATAAGTTATGAAAAAACAAATTGAATACAGTAAAAGGAACAATAATAAATGAAGTCATGGAGAAAATACCAAAGTTGTTAAACTTGCAGTTAAGGATGTCCGGTTAGGATGACATGTCATTCTGTGGGCTGCTCACTTTTGGAATAGCACAATCCGACTCATCGTGTCAGTTTTAGTACAACACAGAGTATATTCAGGGTATAAATATATGATATTAAAATGTTATACAAAGGTCCTTTATATGCATCGCACTTGACTACGATACTCAAAAAAAAAAGAAATCAGGACAGTCTTGCTCACATTGTAACTTAAATTGCCCGCAAAAAAATCAGTTTTCAAATTGTATTAAGCCGTGAGTTAAAGTTCATTGACTCATGACGACAAAAGAAAAAAACAAAATCAACGGTAACAGTGTGTTAATGCATATATCCATTTAACTGTACTGATGATTTGAATTAGATTGAAGTGATATTCATAATTAATGACCAAATGTAAGGAAGGACTCAATTTTTTCAATAAACGTCATATAACATAAGAGCTTTAAAGTTAGTTCGATAGCATCCTTTGTTGTTATATCAAACTCCTTTTTTAAAGGAACTAGTATTGTAGATACTAGTTACCAGGGGAAATCCCTTTTTAACAAGCACCGTGTGCCAGAACTAACTAACAAATGTGATATTTTGTACCCATAGTTCAATATATTTTGATGATACATTTATTGAAATGCAGTTTTTTAAGAAATCAGTTTCTTGTAGTTTGGCAAATAGAAAAGATTTTTTTCCATTTAATCGTCTTATTTCTTAACTACGAGCATTGATTCTAGACTTAAATGACGAGTGGTGCAGGCAAAGCAGAAGATCCTAACCTTTGACGCACCAGGGCTTACCCCTGAGACAATTCACACTGCTATTACTCACATAGTTGTCTAATTCGACCTATATCTTATCTTAACGTCAGTATAATAATTGATATTATAATTTATCTATTCATTTTTAAAATGTGAAAAAAAAAAAAAATTACAAACCTTATAATGATTTGAAAATGTCCCACTTTAGTAATTTATATGATGTGATTAATAGTTTCCTTGTGTCGTGTATTCAATATCGTATTCAATATAGTGTATTCAGTGAAACAATTGATAGTATGGTGTTCAACAGGAAAAGAATATTCAATTGATAGTTTACGGAAATATAAACTTTTGAATATTAATAAAAAAACATCATTAGCGCCTGGGACTATTAAACTAGTATAACGCTCGTAATTATTTTTACGAAAAGCCGCTTTTTCGGGAATTTGGTTTTGTTTTCATTTTGGGTTCAGAAAATGCGGAAATTCCTAAAACGGTTTCTAACTTCGAAATCTTGTTAAGTCATACCAATCTGAAAGAAAAACTTCAACAATGAAAAAGAGGCAGAGGATACCAAAAGGGCAATTACAATCCATCTGTCGAAGGAAACCCGACAACACCATGGCAAAAAACTAGAAAAACTACGAAAAGACCAACAAACGTTTACAAAACACTATAGAAACCTAAAGATTGGTTAACACGAATCCCATCAAAAATCGGAGGTGATTTCAGGCAGGAAAGCTCATGGTTAATACACATTCGGCGTTTGTTTTTGTAGCAGTTCAGTGTTTCTGTTGTTCCGTTTTGTTTCCTCTTATAGTTGATGTTTCCCTCAGTTTTGGTTTGTGACCCGGATTTGTTTCATTTAAAATCGATTTATGACTATTAAACAGCGGTATACTACTATTGCCTTTAATTATCATCATACTGTAATTGAGGAAAAGAGGACGAGATTGAGACTACGATAATGGGAACGTGATCATCTATCACACAGATATTCATTAACGGTCAACCAACTCATGATGGTGACCGTAAAACGTTCAAAGGGATGCTTCCAATTCTACAAGGAACCCTTGGTTCAACAGCTTCCTGGTAGAGCAAATCCTCTATTCAGGAACGCAAGCTCTGGAATATCCTATAAACTCGGAGATACATACGCAATATAGTGGGGCGGCTTAGTACCGAAATTTGACAAAATCATGCAAATAGTGATGCAAGCATAGGAATTGGCACATACGTTTTAGGGTGTACTTTAGCATATTAGAGGGGTAGCCAACATATTTTTGAATTTTTTCTCGGCGGGCATCTTGAATTTAAAATTGGCATCATTCATGCTCAATGGAGATTGAAAACAGATCCACACCTTACTATGCAAAAGTAAAATAACAAAAATACCAAACTCCAAAGAAATTCAACACGGAAAGTCATTTAACAAATGGCAAAATCAAAAGCTCAAAAGCTCAAACACATCAAACGAATAGAGAACAACTGTCATATTCCTAACACGGTAAAGGCATTTCCTTATGTTGAAAATGGTGGATTAAACCTGGTTTCATAGCTAGCTAAACGTCTCACGTGTATGATAATACGTCAAATGCAAGCATGTCTGGGTAGTTCCTATATAGAAATGTAAAATTCACAATTGGAAAGCTAAACTGATCTCTTTTGTCGTAAATTTAGGTTTACCGACCGTCCATGCCAGCTTATAGATATAAGTTAAGATAAACGGCAGAGCTCATTGTATCTCATTCTGTGGTATCCTTTATTTCAAGTGTGATGCGTTAAAAATAGTCGTCAGATTCAGTAGATGATTTAAGTCAGATTGGCATTTTTGTAGAAATTGACATTCTGAGCATTTTCTTTCTGTGTCTATAAAAGTTTTCAAGATAATAGACAATAATTATTACTTCTATTTAACTCTCAAGTTCTTTTAAAGTAACATTGGTAATTTTAATTGATTGATGAAGGTAAATCCAGAAAAAGCGCTTCTGACGCATGAAATTTATAGTGTTATTTCAATATTTTTGTTGGAACACAACGAACAAATCTGAAACTAAACACTACAAATATATTAGTGAGCAAGTTTGGTTCCAAATTGACTGGTGGTTTCAAATAAGATTAATGACAGTTTACAGCTGAACGGCGGACAGATTGATTTCAAGTCAATATAAAATATCATACTGGTGTTAGGGCTAGGTCAGCTGATAGGTCTATAAACGACTGTCTTAGCTTGGATCATCAGGATAGACATAGATAACTTGATATGACGCTGCCACTCAGTGGCAATATCACAACACTAAGATATGCCTTTAATGTTTTTTGGGACAGTGAACTATTCTTCAAGATTCCCTCCCCACTTGGTTCTCTACGAAAAGAAAATTCTTTCAGGAGAGGTCATCCAACATAACTCCAAAAAAAACACCACAATAGAACCATATCAGCACAATTATACCGCCAAACTTCGAACAGAGACACATATGTCTCTGCTTTAAATTAAAAAAGCAAAGGTCTTTTTTGTTTTGTTTTCGGTAACACTTGAGGCCATGTTTCGCCATAGTTAGTGTTTTCATAAATAATTGTAAATAGGAAACAGATATCATTTCTCTAAATTCTGGTAGTAAATAATCATTTGCAAGATTTTTCTGTAATATTTCTTTCTTTTTTTTAAACGTAACTGTCGTGCACAGAACTTTTTTTAACTTCGACAATTAATTTCTTGGAAACCACCATAAATGCTTCGTTTATCCAGTTTGGTCAAACTTACTTCTAACAAGATTTTCGGATTTTTTTATCATTATTTATGCCAAATGGTCTTTTCCAGTTATAATGGCAGCAATGTTTGATGTTCCTTTAGGTCTTCAGTCATATTTTTACACAGGGTTCGAAATCAAAATGGCAATATTTAAACATGTGAACTATGTATAAAACTCAGTCAATGAACAATGACCAAAGGTGCAGGTCAAAATAACCTCATGGATATAAGAAATGTCAATGCTTATAAAACTGCATCCAAATACCGTTGACTTATCAATAGTATTAAAACATTTGACTTTTATACACTTTACACAAGTATTCCCCATTCCAAACTAAAAGACAAATTGAAAGAGTTGGTATTACTTTGTTTCATTTAAAAGAATGGCGAACGTAGATACAAGTATCTTGTCTTGGGGAGGGATAAATCATACTTTGTAAAGAATCACTCTGATTCAAACAAAAAATTCTCTGAAACTGACATTATCAAGATGCTTGATTTCTTGATTGACAACATATTTGTTACGTTTGGAGGACGTGTTTTTCAACAGACTGTCAGAATTCCAATGGGAACCAATTGTGCCCCTCTTCTTGCCGACTTGTTTCTTTATTATTATGAGGCTGACTTCATACAGGAACCTCTTAGGAAAAAAAATAAGAAGTTAGCAATATCCTTTAACTCTACGTTCCGCTATATAGATGATGTTCTCTCACTAGATAATACAAAATTTGGTGACTATGTTGAACGAATCTATCCAATCGAAGTAGAGATAAAGGATACTACAGATACAGTTAAGTCTGCCTCATATCTAAACTTACATCTAGAAATTGACAATGAGGGTCGGTTGAAAACAAACCTTTACCACAAAAGAGATGATTTCAGCTTCCCAATTGTGAACTTTCCATTTCTATGTAGCAACATTCCAGCAGCGCCTGCATACGGAGTATATAACTCCCAATTGATACGATATTCCCGGGCTTGTGTTTCCTATCACGATTTCCTTGATAGAGGATTGCTGCTCACAAGGAAGATATTAAACCAAGAGTTCCAAATGGTGAAGTTGAAATCATCCCTTCGTAAATTTTACGGACGCCATCACGAGTTGGTTGACCGTTATGGAATAACCGTTTCAAAGATGATATCGGATATGTTCCTTATGTCGTAACTACAATACCCTCCCTTTTCACGAATGTGACTTACCGAATTAGACTATTTACCGGATTTGTAATAACATAAGCAACACGACGGGTGCCACATGTGGAGCAGGATCTGCTTACCCTTCCGGAGCACCTGAGATCACCCCCAGTTTTGTGTGGGGTTCGTGTTGCTTAGTCTTTGGTTTTCTATGTTGTGTCATCTGCACTACTATTTGTCTGTTTGTCTTTTTATTTTTGGCCATGGCGATGTCAGTTTGTTTTCGACCTATGAGTTTGACTGTCCCTCTGGTATCTTTCGTCCCTCTTTTATCAAATGTGGTTCCCATTAAACTAACATAAACACAAACTTTAACTTGTAAAGTAAGCAAAAGTATCAAAGTCAATGAATCAATATCAAGGGGCGTGGCCTTATAATTTGTAAATGCTTATAAAACTGTATACCTGTATACTGTAAATGAGATGTGCCAATGCTAATACAATTGCATACAAAATATCAATGAACTACCATTAAGTTACCCTTAAACTGACCTAATCACAAACTAATAAATGTAAACTAAGCAAGTTTCAAAGTCAATAGAACATGACTTAGGGGGTGGGCCAAATAATCTCCATGGAAATGAGATGTTCCAACACTGATACAACTGCATAAGAAATATCATTGGCCTACCACTAGAGGTTTCCCACATAAACTGACTTAATCATAAACTAATACATTGTTGACACTGCAAGTGTTCGTCTAAGAAAGACAACAATCTGGTTCAATTCAACATTTTTCAGGAGTTTTATTTGATTTTTTACATTCTTTCTTTCAGTAATGTGGTTGCCATCTAATTTAACAATTGGGGTCATCTTCAGTCTCTCTCAAAAAGAATTGTGTATCATATCCTCAAATATGATAAACAGATGAGGGGTGAATGTCATTGAGACATTAACCTGACAACACAATTAACAAAAAGACCCCTAATGGAAAATTACAGTTTCAACAATAGACTGGTGTTATGTTTTTTCTTAATTACTCAGTCTTAATTGAATTAATTCTACAGAGAATGTCAAAACTCTGTCATCCAAATAAATTCTCAAAATAACAAAAAACAATAAGATATGACATTAGAAGACAACCACAGATATGGATGATTGGGTAAGAAATAAGATTCTGTGTCATAAAAATTGTATTTATTGCAGAATAATTTAAAATACACAGTACGTTTTATTCAGATCATTACCATCTAGCTCAAACATACACAACATTCAAATTACATGACATGTCATTCTGAACAATGTTACATAGATTTCTGACATTGGTTGACTGTTTTTCATAATGCTCAGCAAGGTAGTTCTTAAATCT